GATCAATTGGAGGGCAGATTAGTAATTAGGAAGTCCAAATAAGAGCTACAAACAACGAGCCCATGTCGTCACGCAATGCAACAGCAACTCCCCTATGACAGCACCAAACAAGCGATCGACCATTGGGAGTTCCCCTCACGCTCTGTAAGTGAAAGTAGCCATGAGATGAGAAAATTTTCACATTTTAAAATTAATATTTTTTTAATTAATATGAGGGTTTATATGAGCTTACGGGTTAGGTTATATATAACTTAATTAATTCTATAAATTTTAAAATTAATAATAATAATTTTTAATAATTATAAAATTTTAAAAAATTAAATTAATAATGTTTAAAAATCAAATCTAAAACTTGATAAATAAATTGCACCCTTAATATCATTTTAAAATTAATATTAAAAAACAAAATGATGGTGGTGGTACAAAGTACAAGCTCTAACCTCCTTGAATGTGGAAACCAGTGTTTCGGATGTCAAGATAAACAAGTTCCGTCCCTTGTATCTCTAATAAACCCAGCGGCTTTTCCTCTTCTCAACGGACACGCTCAACACATCCTCTTAAATACCTTCGTCTCCCTTTCTCTCTTTCCTCCTTCAACAACAAAGATCAAAGATTCTTCTTTCCTCTAGTTTCAGTAGTATTGTCGTCTTTCGTTGCAAAATTGGAAGCCAAAATGCGGATGAGTTGTAATGGATGTAGAGTTTTGCGCAAAGGCTGTAGTGAAAATTGCAGTATTAGACCTTGCTTACAATGGATCAAGAGTCCGGAGTCTCAAGCTAACGCTACTGTTTTTCTTGCCAAGTTTTATGGCCGTGCTGGTCTTATGAACCTCATCAACGCTGGCCCTGAACATCTCCGTCCTGGTTAGTACATATATTAAGAATATCTGGGTTCTCAAAAAATCTAAACAACAATAAATGTTTCTGAAAACTTAGTAATTTTTTTGTAGCCCTTTTAACTTTTTTGGTAAAAAATCCTAGTCTAGTTCTTGTTGGTGCAAGAAACGACTTATAGTTCTTGATTTTTTTTTTTTATCTCAACAACTCAAAAACGACTTATAGTTCTTGATTTTTTTTTTATCTCAACAACTCAAGTTTTTGAATGCTTGTGAAAATTCAAGAATTCTTGGTGACCCTTTAAAGTTTTGATGTAAAAGAACTGGCCCTAGGCTAACTAAGATAATTTTATGATGCCTCAAAATTGATGGGTTTCTTCTCTTTTCTTCTTTGTGACAGCAATTTTTAGGTCTTTGCTTTACGAGGCTTGTGGGAGGATAGTGAACCCAATTTATGGATCAGTTGGGTTGATGTGGTCGGGAAGCTGGCCGCTTTGTCAAGCAGCCGTTGAAGCCGTGCTAAGAGGTGCGTCGATAACTCAAATTAACTCTGAAACCGCAGCTAATGCTCAGGGACCTCCGCTGAAAGCTTATGATATACGGCACGTTTCGAAAGATGAGAACTCGGCTGCCTCAAACGATGCCAACCGGGTCAGGACTCGGTGTCGAGTCGGGCGAGTTGTGAAGCCTAAAGCTAGCAAACCGGCTTGTGGTGGTAATGGGTTGGGATCGATCGTTGTTGACATGTCGGCGACACGGAACGGCTTGACTCGGTCCGCGAGTCACGAGTCATCGGTGAGTCACCAATCCGAGTTGGCAATGGTGGACGGTGAAAGCAAAGAGACGGACGAGAGCATGATGTCTGTGGAAACAGCAGAGGATTCATTGCTGTTCCGATCCGAACCGGAGTCAAAGAGCGATTTGGCGACCCCTGACGCTGCTAGCAACGAAATTGCCGGCCTTGGCCTGGACTTGGCTCTGGGCCTTGAGCCCGTGTCACGAGCGCATCACGTTGTTCCGGTGAAGAAGAGAAGGATTGAAGCTCCCGGGTCTAGTGATTTTGACACGTGTAAGATGGAGCTGGGACTTGACTACGCAGCTTGAATCGATGAGAAAGCCCAAAGGAAACGTGAAGGCTTTTTTTTTTAATCCCGGAGGTTTTTCCCTCGGTGTAATTTATTTTGTTTGTTTTTGCGGCCTTTTATGGTGAAAATAGAGCTGTACAAACCTGGTGTTTACATGGACAGAAACCGTAAATGATCAGTAGAGGGATCTTTTTAACCTTTGAGCAGTCAAATCCATTTGATTTGTTGTGGGGATTGCTCCCAAGAGCCTGTCTCTGTCTCCTTCAACATTTGTGGAGGCATGGATGGAGTGCTCAAGCGATTCAAAAGTAATGTCTTCAATGGTGGTTGGATGTCATGGGGACTCGTGTGCCTGTACGCCTAGTTTGAATGGGTGTGTGTGGGCAGTGTCAAGAGCATCATTTCTTTTGCACGTTTTACTGGATGCGGAGTTTCATGTGACGGTGGAATGACGTTGAAGTTGTGGAAGGCTCTTGACATGGGGGGGTGCTCAAAACAAGGAATAATCTCGGAGCTGGGGGTTGCTCTGCTGTCTACGTCAGGGCTAGTTTCGTTATTAACACATTTTTTAATTTTTTTTCTAAATAAATGAAAAAAGAATGGGTCAAATGGTACTGTTTCTACATGTTATGTTATGGTTAAAAAAAACACAATATTTATTGCTTGTTGCTACGAGCAATGACGAAACTCGTAGAAAAGATGAAAGAAAGAGATTTTGTAAACACACCAAAGCTTTTATTATAATAATATTAGTACGGTCAAAAAGATTATAAATCTAACCATACCAAGAAATTTCGCCAACAATAATCTAAGAGGTTGTTTGATAATATATTTTAAAAAAATTAAATATTTTTATTTTAAATTAATATATTTTAAATATTTTTAAATTATATTGATATGCTGATTTAAAAAATAAAAAAGTATTATTAATATATTTTTTAAATAAAATTCTTTTAAAAAAATAATCATAATTATATTTTCATTACCACTCTTGTCACATTTGCAATAAAAAAACAGTCAGAATGTATGATCTACTTAATTCATTATTGTATGTTTTTCAGATTTTTTTTCTAATTATTTCATATTTTTTATTAAATATTACTATTCTGAAAACTTTATTTTTTAAATGATTTTTATTTTTAAATATTTTTTTTTTATCTTTAACAATTATTTTAACTGTAATAATTTTAATCTACTGCAAATTAAAAAAAAAAAAAACACTTCTGTGTCAGGTGGCCTGAACTGCTCTGCCACATACATGCGCATGTCTTGCACATGTACAAAAGTGGGTGTGACGTGCACTGTTTTCGATGGTACCTTTTTCTTAGGTTCTGTACTTTCAGTATTCCATCATGGGAATAGGCATGGCTCCTGTCCAATCAGGAATCAAAGCCATTTCCTTGCCCCTCTCTCGTTCGTTCACGTCTGTTTTCTATTGTTTTTTATTTAAAAATACATTAAAATAATACTTCTTATTATAAAAAATTATTTTTAATATTAGTTTATTAAAATATTAATTTAAAATAAAAAAATAATTTTTTTAAAATACTTTTAAAATATAAAAATAAATATAATTATCATCAGACTCACCGAATGCTTTTAAAGTCCGTTTCACCCTCCCCTCCCGTGCCCCAACTTCTCTTCCATGCAAATGTTAGCCCACTAATTCGGCATATCACGTTTCCTCTTCACTTTACTTGCGAGGGACTTTATTTCTAGAGTTGTAAAAGGTTTTTTTCGAAGATATTTAAAAATATTTTATTTATTTTAAATTATTTTTTAATTTTTACGTTGTTTTTATAGGCTGATATTAAAAATAATTTTAAAAATAAAAAAAATATTATTTTAATATATTATTAAATAAAAACTATTTTAAAAAACAACAAATACTATACTCTCAAATACACTTTTTATTTCTTTTGTTTAAAAATATATCTTTTTTATAATTTAACAATTAAAAAATATCATCCATTATATTATTAAATACACATGTCATTAAGCCACATACAAGGTAAAAAGTTCATCCCACATGTTCAGATGTGTGGGGTTCTTTTACTAGGTCTTAGTGCTCCTTTTCTACTATTGATTGATGTTTTGATCACAAAAGTTTTCAAAGGTTTTTTTTAACTGGTTTTGTGATGTTTAAAAATTTAGTAATGATTATATTTTAAAATATTTTTTATTTAAAAATATATTAAAATAATTTTTTATTTTTTAAATTTATTACAATAAAATAATTTAAAAATAAAAATATAATATATATTTTTTTAAAATTTTACAAATTTGTATTTAAGATCTGATTTGTTTTGCAAAGAGTTATGTTTATCAATAAAATAAAAATGAAAATGAAATAAATCATTTAATGAACAATATTCTTGTGTGGTTGGACTTTAATAATAATTTAAGTATTGATTATCTATGAAAAATTAATTGAAATTATTTAACAAATAAAGTTTTTTTGTGTGAATATATATGATGATTTATTTACTATTTTGCTGAGGAAGGTAGTTATTTTAAGAATAATCATTCATTTTTATTTTATTTATCTAAATTAATAATTATATTTAAATTAATATATTTTATGTGGTTTATAGACATACATACATACATACATATATATATATATATATATATTAAAAATGTAACTGTTAATAAGTACGTAAGATTCAATTTAAATAAATAAAGTATGAAGTAGTGGGTATTTTTAACACTTCTGCTGTAGTTTTTTCTATATAAAATTTGATCTAAGTTAAATTTTATTTTAAACTATTTTTTATTAAAATAATACTATTTTAATTAAAAGAATATTGATCTACTATATAATTTAAAAAAATTAGAAGATATTTTTTAACATATTTTCCAATTGAAAATAAATATTTTTTTAATTCCAGTTAAAACAATCATAAATACTTTAAAAACAATTTTAAAAAATAGTTAGAAGATAAAAACAATCACTCCTTACAAATCCTCGTGATTTGTGAGTGGACTAGCCCAAACCACGCTAATAAACTACGAAAAACAAATAAACTCAAAGGGTCACTCCTTACAAATCCTCGTGATTTGTGACTGGACATATAAACTACGAAGAACAAATAAACTCAAAGAAGAGGGTTCTCCATTGAGAGTTCCACCGCTGCCATCTCTAGCTAGCGGCAATTTGCTTCAACTCTCTCTCTCAACAATTCTCTCTTAGGTATGCGCCTCTCTCCTCCTCCTTATCACATTTTACAAAACCCTAAGTTTTTGATTCTTTACTTTATTCTCTTACAAAAGATCAATCACGAGTTTATAGTTCTAAATTTTGAGTTTAATTAATTTTTTTATTTATATATAATTTTGTCGAAGAATGGATGGGAATAGGTGGAAACTTTTCAAGAAACCGGTAAATACTCAATTTAAAAGGAAAGGGGTGAGTATTAGTTGCAGGAAAGGAAAATACGAAGAATTATCAGAAAATTATCTTGGTGATGGTACTGTTTATAGGATACTGTGTCCGTCCAGAGAGATTTGGAGTGTTATTGGAAAGGGTGGGAATATAGTGAAAGCCTTAAGGGAAGAAAGGCAGTCCAAAATTACTGTTGCTGATTCAGTTCAGGGCTTGGACGAGAGAGTTATTATTTTTATAGTTCTTCGGTTAAACCTCTGATAAAAAATGACTAGGAGGAGGAACTGGAGCCACATTGTGCTGGCTGGACGCGCTTCTGAAAGTTCATGGCCGGATTGTGGATGATGAATTGATGATGATAAGGAGAATATTTTTGTCACGGCAAGGCTTCTTGTTCATAATAATATGGTACGTTGTGTTTTAGGAAGACGGGGAGATTTTACTCAGAGGTTAAGAAGTGAGGCTGGTGCAAACATACATGTTCTTGCTGTGCTACGGACACTGATGAATTGGTCCAGGTAATATATGATGTTGGTCTCTCTTTTGCTTCATCGGGTTGTTATTGGACATGATACTGGCACCGCATTGTTATTTCTTTTTTTCCAATTCTTTTTCCCTAGTAACTGAATTATAGTTAATATGTAGGCTTTTTGGCCGACTCTAATTTGTATTAGAAGTGGATGATAATTCATGTTAACATTTGACAAATTACCCAAGCTGTGTGTTGGTATTATGTAGTAGTACAGATTTTGGCATACGATTATTGATCGGGAATGAATATGAGTCATGCTATCTCTCTCTTTAATTAGCCTGTCTTGAGAATTGTAAATCTTTCTTGAACCTTTTCAAAGAAAATATTGATTCGACTTTCATCAAGAGATCACATTAAAGACATGTACGGAGATTGATGGTATTGCATTCTTGTATGTTCCCAAGGTAGAACTCTGTTATATGCATGTTGGAGAAGGTATGTTGTTATTGTGCATGGATTGTTCACAAGGGGAAGTTGTGCTAGTTCTTTTATTCCTTCTTTTTGATAAGCGCTGTTGTTTTTTGGGCTCTTGGTCCTAATGAGTTCCTGTAGTTGTGAGCCAGGATAACTAGTTGTTAAGTTGGAGGATTCAGGAATCTCATTTGCATTTGTATCTTGCATACAAGAAAAAAAAAGCTTAAAGTCCTATTCTGTATAGTCTGCTCTATCACTTGATTATCACTACTGCAGAAAAATAATTGCTAAGTTGAAGACCTGTTAGGTAGCGCCTATTTTTTTTTTGTCCCATCAAGGTTTTTGGCTGTGCCTTCTGGAGACTACTTGCCAGTGGTTTGGTTCTGGATAATGAGAACATGTAATTAGTTTTGGGCTTGCAATGCTCTGAGCCCACCCATATCATGTTGCAGTTTTAGCATCATTAGGAACGAATGTAAAGCCTACTCTTTTTGGGTAAGAATGCAGTGTGCAGCTTTAACTTTTTTTTACTGCATTATACCTCAAGTTTGTGATTTTTTGATACAAAATTAATATAGCTCTTGCAATTGCAGTCTGATCTTTCTAATAAATTTTTGAGTATAAAATGAAATCTGAGAAGAAATACCTTGGTTTGCAAATTGTCCTTTTGCCTCTTCAACCTTTGATGGTAACTGCAGCATAATGGATTTAAGAAGTGGCATCAAACACTTATTTGAAGTTTATAGTCAATTATGTGAGACAGGATATGGAAATAGTCTTTCACTGGCTTTTGAGGGGCTGATTCTCAGTGCTTTTTTCTACATGAGCAAAGTTAATTGAGATGCCCAACAACCCAAGGACTTAGCAAAATCTTCACTGGAAGGCCATTAGGATTCTTGGAATTCTTTTAATGCGCATGCCAATAGTTGAATAAAGTAGTATCGCTATATAAAGTAGATGATTGCCTCATGTGGAAGATTGTTGGGTTGATTGAAGTCACATGTATGATCTGAAAGTTACTATTGAATTTTGATATGACCATATCGTCCAATGGATTGTAGTGTAGTTGACTCAATACCTAAGTGGATATGTTAACGTTGTTTGGCTAAAGACTTTTGGCATTGACATCTTTATGCTTTCAACTGATTTCACTGCTAGATTTCTTATTGGCGTTCCGCCTTGTGAATCAGCATAGTGGAATGCAGGTCTTCTCAATAAGATGGGTCTTCTTTGGCTGTTTGTACACTTCTCATGAGTAGTTGACATAGGCACTCGCCATGAACTGTCCTCAAAGATGTGACAATTATTTCCCCAATAGAGCTCCAGTGATCTGCTTGACTGAATGTTCTTTGTATTGGAAGGAAGGTGGTAGTTTCAAGTTTGAGTTTGAGAGATACATGCAGAAATGAGTATACCCCTGCAATATCTTAGCATACACTGGTTAAGTCATGACAGTTGCAAAGGATGAGGCCAAACATGCAGAAGAGGTGGGTGGATCGACCTCGACCTTTCTCACCTTATTGTTATATCTAGTGCAGGAAGACTGGCATAGCTACGGAATTAATAGCATTTATGAAGGACATTTATTTTTCTATTTTGACCTCTTTCCCTGTTTTCTTTGTTATATTATTTTATGTGTAGTCTGAGTTGTTTCATATTCTTTACCGTGTCTTCAATAGAAGATAGATGGGGTTTTCCCTGGCATTAGTAGATATGCTATTCATACTTTGAAGTTCACTTTCTCCATTTAGCAACCTCCAGCCAGATTATGAGTGGTACCTCTTCCCCCTTGAAAAGGAAGAGTTACATACAGGAGCTTTTAAGAATGGAGTAGGACAGAGCTATGCCATGATCCTGTCATATAGCCTTCTATTATCATATGATTTGACTATTTACTTGATAACTACATATTTTCTTATGATTTTTCTCTGTGATTGGGTTACGCCCTTACCCCCATTGCATTATGCAGGTTGGGGAGATTTCTTTTATCCCTGTTTGATAATTTTGAAGCTATTTTTTGATACTATATTTAATCCTGGCAGAATTTTGGTGGATAGCCCTACATATGTATGGGAGCACAAGTGAACTGGTTCTTTTTCTTTTTTTAACTGGTTTATTCTACAAATTTGTCCTTTATGTAGGAAGAAACAATTTAAGAGGATTGACCATGATGATGATGACACCTATTTCTTAGATTCATTAAATTGTTTAGTTTGATTGCATCCTGCTCTTGGTGGTTGCATTCTGGTTGAATTTGATGACAGATTTTCTCTCCCTGGAGCTTAAGATGGTGGATTGTTTTGCTAGGATTGGTGGTCTTTGCTTTTCAAAAGGCTTTATAACCTGACCAATTTCCATTACCGTTGTACACTTTCATGTTGTTTTTTCCCTAGAGACATTGTAATATTTCTCAATGCTCAATGAGTATCTGGTTGGGGCAGTATATGTGGTACTTTAGGCCGAGCTTTAAGTTGGCAAGACTATCTAACAGGTTGTTATTACGGGGGCTTTAGAAGTTAACATCCATCCTGAGCTGGATTGATGTATATCACATACAAAAGTGCCGTAGTACTTCCTGGACCTTTAATCTGCTGCTAAGTTGAAAGAATGTGGTGGTATGGTGTGTGTCTATTGCATGCAAGAAACTGCACTGAAACAGAAGTCTAGGAGGGTTTGTTCAGTGTACACATTACAAGAAGCGAACTTTTTCTATCCATAAGGTGACTCTGGAACAGAAGTCTAGGAGGGTTTGTTCAGCATATACATTACAAGAAACAAACTTTTTCTATCCATAAGGTCACTGATCATGCCTAATTGCATGTTGTCAAGTATTTGATGATTGTGTGAGCTCACCCGCTTTTGAGCATTTGGATGCAGAAGCATCATCATTTGCACTGGTGTGCAGAGGGACATGAGTACGAACTTGATTGCTGCATAATTATGTTATGATGTTTTATTATGGAATCATAGCAATGGGCGCGCGCTCCTTGCATATTACTTTTTGTAACATTCCAAGTTCATTTTTATGAAATGTTGCATGTAGATTTTCCCCTCTTCATTAATCTATGGAAAAGTTGGAATTTTCATGCAACTCCCTACGGTGTGCAATTTCAGATCTCTGGAAAGCCAGCTGTGGCAAAGAGGGCTCTTTATGAAATACCTGCTCTATTGCATCAGAATATGTGCAAGGACAAATCTCCAAGTGTTTCAGGGTCTATGGAATCCAAGATCACGAACCATTGAAGCAATTCTTCAGCTTCAGAATAAAACTAGTGAATTTTCTGGAAAGGGTATGATTACTAGACTTCTGGTTCCGTCTAGCAAGGTTGGCTGCATTCTTGGACAAGGAGGTCAGGATATCAATGAAATGAGGAGGTTGCGGGCAGAAATTTGTGTATACCCCAAGAATGAATGGCCTAAATGTGCATCTGAAGATGAGGAGCTTGTACAGGTAATGAGGTTGAATGCAGCGCTTCACAATCAATATCTTTTGCTGATTTTAATGTTTTAACTGATGATGCTCTGATTTTTTTCCCCTTGTCCTTGGAGCTCAGATATCTGGATATTGCATCTGACTCGGAGAAACAACTTTGCATGATGAAAATGCTGGAGCAGAACCTGAGCGTGCTGGACCTGTCCTGGGCTTTGGGCTGGCACACAACTTGCCAGTAATAGGACCCCAACCATCTGTTATGATGGGAGCTAGCAATTCTGGTGGATATGAACCTCTCAAGGTAATTTTGTTTCTTTTTCCATCTTTATGTACCTTATATGCTGACTATGTGACTACCTATTTAAGTTTTTTGTGATAAATTCAGTGACGAGGGTTATAGATTGTTCTTATTGGGAATTATTGTATTTCTACCACACTCTGGGCAGTAACTTGTACTTTTAAATCTGTTTTTCTGTAGTGATATAATTGAATTGAGACAATATCTTGATTGAACATAGGCCACAGTTCCATAATGTATTTAGGATTGTCTGAACCAAGAAAATAAATTGATTTATATCCCACAGTTAGGGGTGCTTGAACTGTTAAACAAAACTCTTCTTTCTTCTGCTGCAAGTCCAGCACATGCTGTGTTTGTGTGTGTAATGTGGACGAAATACAGGTGCAAGTCCAGCTGCTATGGGAATTGATGATGTTTCTATTTTTGCAAGTACAAGTTAGCATTTGAATAATAATGTGATTGAGTTCTTTGTTACTCTCCAAATTTCAGATACCCAATATGAAACCATGTCTTGGAGGCTAATAACTCGCCTAATATGAACCATGTTTTGGAGGCCAATAACTCACATAATGGAATGAATTCTGTCATTAGATCTGGAGGATGTGATGTTTCAAGTATTGACGAGGTATGTTCTTGACATGGCCTTGTTGTTTAGTAGAAGCATATAAGACTTGTGAGGATTTGGACTTATTTTCTGATACAAGTCTTGGTTTTTTTGCGTTCATATCATGAGCATGGAACAACCACAAAAATATCACCCATGATTTCAAATTGTGCCATTGAGTTTTATTATGAGCTTTCAGGTTTTTGTAAAGTTCATCAATGATCGTCTGCTAGAGTCTGCTAGATGATTGATGATGCTGCTAGTAAGTGGTTCCATTAGCTGGTGACATGGCAGGCTAGATCAACATAAATATATATCGTTGGACATATCAACAAGTGACAATGGCAACTAGTCCATGCCTCATGTTTCGAGAATTCAGAAATCACAACTCAATTTGCTGAGTTATAACTCCTGATTAATGAAAAAGTTAACACTTATGGTCATTATGTGGACAAAACCATTCTAAGAGCTCCTACAATTTCTATCAGAATTCTCGTTCTTTCTAGCTTTTATTGTTTGTTTCTCCCTTCTTATAATGGCCTTCTCTCTCCCCAAACACACAGTTCTTGGTACCATCCATCTCCTCCTTTTGGTGCCTTGGAGTCTCCAAACCAAATATTTTTCAAATAATTAAAATAGTATTGCCAGGCATAAGTTCTTTAGCACAATTTCCACAGATAAAAAGAAAGGCATCATTTTCCAAATCTCCTTTATATTTGTTTAGATACCAGTAAATGTTTCCATTTACCATCATTATGATGTACTGATGGCTGTGATGAAATTATTGAGTTGTGAAATCTGAGAAATGCCACGTCTCTGAATTCAAATAAATCATTTAGAGGAGAGCGAGTTTTTTCAGAGTTCTCAAGAGACATTAGGAAACCACCTAAAATTCCTCGACACGTTAGCAAGTAAAACTGCCTTCTGCACCAGTCTAGAGTTACAACTGCAGATTGAGTTGGAACTTCCCAGTTGTATGAGTTCACTCAGTCTCGCCTTTCTCCTGGTCTCTTTAAGCTAAACTCATGCCTGAACTCTTCTTGATCTAAACACATAACCACTACTTGAAGAAAAATCAATATCTGAGTTTTCTCATACACGACCCGCTTCCTTCCTGCTGTGTTTCTCTTCAACGACATCCTGCTTCTATTTATCATGCTCAATTGATTCATGGTTTGACTATCATGGTTTTCCTTGGACTCATCGTCCATGCTTGATCATGTGGGTATGTGTTGATTGTAGCAGTGGTCATGGAGCTGGCCTTGCCATTGGCAATATTCCTTCACTGAAGAAATTTAAACTGCCAGTACTATACGTAACTAGCATAAAGCATTGTGAATAATGGCTCTATTCTGGTGCTTTCAAAGCAGTAAAACTGAAACATTTAATGAAATTAACCTTTACAGTTGAAGGAATTTTTGTAGTATTTTGTTTTGCTTCGTGCATTTGCATCAATCAGTTGTAATATTTTATTTCATGAATTTTATTTTTGCAAAAGATTCTTAAATTTCTTTATACAAAATGCAGGTTGTTGGAACAAGGTTGAAGCTTTTACATCCCATTATGGTAGTTATGAAGTTGTGAATCACGGATCTTCTGAGCATTTGACTGCTGCACAATGTCTTTATCGAGCTTTCATGTCTTCTGGTGGACAGAACATGAATTCCCACCAGGTTTCCTACCAAACCAGCGTAACTTCCCAGCAAAGCTCATACCAAAGCATGAATGCTCACCAGCAAGATGCCTATCAAAGCATGAGTGCCCAGCAGGACCCTACCAAATCAAGAATACTCGGCAGATCACCTCACAAAACGTCCATGGTCAGCAGAACACGTACCGGGACATGAATTCTCGGCAGAGCCCCTATTAAAATATGAGGGCACATCAAACCCATGACTGCCCAGCGAGGTGTCCCCAAATACAAATGCCCCACATAGTTCCAACAACAGTGCTCAGCAAGTCGCTTACCATTACCGAGCACCGACTTTGATTTGCTCATTTTGTATCAGGATTTGTCATTTAGTGTCTTAACAATAATAATTATTGGGAAAAAAGAGAGGAAGGTTTCTTAACTACAAGTGGCAGGTAGACTTGTCAGCAGGACAGAATGCACAGCGATTGTTTTAGCTGTGACATTATCTTGGGGGATGCGTTGTGGAGGAGCCATTATGGCTGGCTAGTGCAAATTGTTAACTTCTGATTAGAGAAGACAAGATTTTTATTCTTTAAAATCGACAATCAAGTATTTTCTACAATCGAAATCATTAAAATCTTATCAGGATGAGAAATCTGTTGGAAATCCAAGAAATTCCTGCAGCGGTTCCATCCTTAAATGACAGCATCGGAACCAATTTAGATTCAGATGGTTTGGTGACCAGGAGTGATGTGATTATTGATTGTCTCTTCAGTACTTCGAGCTCCGTTGTGGATGTATACCAAAAAGCTAGCTTTCTTCTAAATGATTCAAGTATATCTTGAATGGATTGATATGATCTCTTCAGAAAAGGCATCAACAAGCTTTACAGCTCAATATTTATCCTTAATCCATTGCAGATGACCTGTGCGTGGGCTAGGACCCGAGTTTTGACAGAAACGCCAACAAGTCTCGTGTACCCTTGCACCTTCTAGGCTTCATTACAGACAACTAGTATCACATTGCAATGGCACATCCATGGTTGACTTGGTGTGAAGTGGGGCTGGATTTGTACTGAAAAGTACAAGTTTGATCACGTATGGGCCTGGGTCACTTTGCACATGCAATACAAGAAATGGATAAGAGTCTGGTATCCACTACTCATCAGCAGCCAGAAGAAATTCAAGATAGATGGCATCCTCAATAAACAAGTGCACCCTCAACTTGGCCACTTAATCAGAGGTATTGTGGCGATCCATGTTGAAGATTTGATCTTGCTTGCATTATAATTATAATTCTATCTAGTGCTATGAAAATTACTTGTTGATTGCCCACAAAAGGAGTTGTTGTACAGTGGTAAAACCTTGTCATTTCAAAGCAGCAACACAAGAACTTGCACCACAATAGGAGGCATCACAAGCCATGTTTGATAGACTGCCATAAATTGAGTGCAGCCATGAAATCATGCAATCAGACTTGTCCACATGAAATATGTCCCAAGTTATTGTAGTGTCGAGTTTTGTGACACCCTTGACTCAATACCATAGGACCGACAAAAGTGTCCATGACCGTTGAGGAGAGAATGCTGTCAGCATTTCACTTTGGATTCACTAAGGAAGACTTTCCGAGGGCATCATTATTTTTGTGTATTTTGGAGTGTGTGAGAGTCATGTAGATGTCTACAAGTCACAGAAACTTCAATCCTCAGCTCAGATTTCCTGTGGGCTGCTCTTTCAGAAACACAGTATTGCATCATGTTGAATTGCTTCCATGTGTGGTTGAATACGAGAGCATGATCATGTTTTAGCTTGCCAATAAACTCCATGTTTCTTCCCTTGATAAATAGTGTGTGATGCATGTAAGCTTTGTAACAAGGAATTTGCAATGAATAATGTGCTATGAAGGGTTCGATAAACACAGATGAATTAAGGTAGTAACGTTTAGCCCAGATTGTAAAGTAGCATCTTTCTAACATGAAATATATATAGTCATATTTCTTACATTGTTTTCAAATTACCTTTTAGCACTAAAATCAAGTTTGTTAAAAGACATAGAAATCATTTTATCAACCTTTGTCATAATATCTCAAACTTGAATAATTATATGGAAATCTAACCCAATTACAATTAATTAACAAAAGGCCTTTTATTTTTATTTTTTTAATTATAATTTGGCTTACTTTACATGTGGTTATCTCACTCTTATGATTTAGGTCGAGAATTTGACATATCAATCTAATTTATTTATTTAACATTTGATTTATTAGGAGGTTGACATTTGTGGTTATCCCATTATTAAAAGATTTAATAAATTAACTCAGTTTGATACTAATAGTTTTTTAGTCATTTTATATAACTAATATTGTTAGAAAATAATATATATCATATCTTGGAATCTCATCAAATATGTTAAGCTATTGAGTTGAATTGGTTCTTTGATAGATATATATTTTTTCAATTTCATCATTTAATATTGAGTTATTTGAGAATTGAGTTTCATAATTTTTTTTGTTTGTTTTCTATAAGGTAATCTTAATCTTATAAACTGGTTTGTCAATCTAGCAGGTTAATCCGTTGACTTAAATTATTTTTTTAGATTTTTGTAATTGATTTTTTTTATTTTATATTTCAACTTCAACATTTTATCGATTAGAAACTAGGTTTTATAATTTATTTTAATTTGCTTCTGGGGATTATCATGATCGCATGATTGTAATTATAAATATGATATGTTTATATCAAGTTGATCTAATATGTTATAGCTTTAAAATTTTAATAAAAATATTATCTTGAATTTTTCTTGAGTCAAGCCTCTCATGATTTAATTTTTTTACTAGAAAAAACATTAGCAAGACTTGGATAATTTTTTATGTTAAAAAAAATTTAATTTGAAATATAATATAGCACAAGTCAATAATTTAGTCTAAACTAAGTTTTCAAGTTGTGGTTATTACTATCTTAAAATAAAAGATTCAAATATATATATATATATAGATTTATTTTTTTATTTTTATTATTTTTTATTATTATTTTTTCAATCAAATATATATATATTTGATTGAAAAAAATAATAAAAATATAAAAATAAATCTGCATCTAATTTTCTTTTTCTTTTTCAAAACATTAATAGAGATCTACACTAAGAGTTTCTAACATTAATGCCGTGTAGAGATGAATCCCTTTGAACTGACATGTACACTAGGAGTTTCTAACACAAAATGCAGTAGTAATCATATCTCCAATGAATCAAAGAAAATACGACACTTGTGAATTCCATTATATATTTATAAAAACTCATTTCGACATTTTCTAATGCCGTGTAGAGATGAATCCCTTTCAACTGCGGTTTCCAAAATCACCAAAGTCCTATAATGGAACACCGTTCCTTTGACTTTCTTGGTAAAAATAAAGTCAACTGTTTCTTCTCACCCAGCATGGTTCCCTTCGCTATCTGTTTCAGCATTGTCTCCATCAAATATTCCACTTCATCCGAAATCTTCATCTTGATAAAAGAATTATCAGAAACAAACACAAAAGGAAGGAAATATTCATTGACCTAATCCCAGTTTTCTCGAAGCTTAGTGTTTGGTTTTTTGAAAGAATTTCTGTTGGATTTTTAGGCTACACGAGAGAGATAACCTCCTTCCTTTCTCAATCTCTTTATGACAAGTCTGCGTGCTGAAATTATTGCTATTGTTTTTATTTATTAGCAGGCACATTTGGATTATATACACGATAGTAGATAGAGATTAATTATAACTACAATGTTGGTGCAATGTATTGGATGTGTTTTTCTATTTGTGTAATTATTTCTTTTCTATTGAAAGAAAGATTGTATTATTATCTTATTATTGTGATTAATTAACTTTCTGAAATCTCTCTTGAAATTTGATGATGTGTTCATACCCTATATCTTTTATATTTATTTCTCTTTTTTATTTTTGTTCATTTACTCTAGGGATGAAATTGAAATTAACACATCTAATCAAATAATTATCTCTTCTAAAATCTTAAGCGTCTTAATAATAGATTTATATTATTTTTTAACACACTTTCTTAAATAAAAGTTTTTTAAACTTAAAATTTACATAGATCTATATTAATTTATATTTAATTTTTATTAATTAAAATGAAGTGGTGATATTTGAACTTGTAAACACTTGGTTAATAAAGTTTTGATACTATATTAAAAAATCATCCCACTCAAAAGCCTAAACTATTAGATGAAGTTTCAATAATAATTTACTTTTCTTGCTCCCATTCACCTCTCTAACTCTTCTTAACTTGTTAAACAATATCTCTTTCTCTATAGTTTGAATAAATTTTGCATTCTTCTATTTTAAAATGGAAATGAGATACAATAAAAAAAGAAGTTGTAATCTACTTTTTGGTCCAATTTTCTGTTTAATAGACATGTTAATTGTTGATGTTTATATGAAGATTAACCAAGGTTTCAATTGATTGCAATCTTTTATTATAGACCTTTCAGTAATAATAATAATAAAAAATACATCCCTTCAAACTCATCAAGCTGCACATATATCAAAATTTTATAATTATCAATAAAAATAAATAAAATAGTGTCATTTTCTTTCTTTTAATTCCTCTCATGTTTTATTTGAAAGGAATGGATTGCTTAATACCACATAAAAAAAACTAGAAATTTAGGACTGAGAAATGAAATATTAGGTTGTAAGAAAGCAGTTGAGAGGTAGAATATAAGGATCACTATTAGAAAATTAACAAATACAAAACACCCATAAAATTTTTCTGACGGTATATATATTACAGTAACATTTACTGACCAAATTTCTCCATCGCTAAATTTTTCATTAAACACCAATAAGAATATGTCATCAGTCGTTAGTATATACTAAGAGAATCACATTGGGAATAGAAGGAACTAAAAAAGAAAAGCCAACCAATACGATGACACGTAAGTTTTTACAGACGAAGTTACCGATGGAAGTAGAACAAAAATTCAATTTTTTCGTGAATATTCCGACGAAAAAATTCCATCTGTATATACTGATGGCATTAAGGACAATATTGAAGTGGGATTTTAAAAGACAAATCATATGGTGATGTGACATTTATATTGATTATATTAATGGAATTGCTATCAAAATAATTTCGTCGGTTAATCCATCAGTAATATTTAATTTATGACGCGACGCTCATCCATCAGTAATATTTAATTTATAACCTGACGCTTAACTCCCCTTTCTCCCCCTCTCATTTCTACTTCTTCCTTGTAAAATTTTTCTTTGTAACTAAACAGCCACCCCCTCTGCATCTCAACACAACTTAACCTTTCATAACTTTTTCAGCCACCACAACACTCGGTTTGTCATCATTCGTGTTCTGATTCAAATTTTATTGAGGATTCTCCACCTTAAGTAAGCATATCTACCTTTTTTTTTTAATTTGAACACAATGTTAAAATGTTTATTTTTTCACAGTATATGTATTTTGTTTGGGTGTTTACTTGTTTTATAGTTTTTTTTTTCTCAGACAAACTTATTGTATGAATTTATGATTTGTACATGTTATAGTTTGTTTTAAATTTTATAAAATTATATTTGTTTGTAAATTGTTGAAACTTATGTCGAATTACCAACTTAATTGTTTTGTGATGAAATAAATAATAACTTATTTAACTAGTCCATTTTATATTTTGTCAATTTTATTGCCGAGTTGTAATTTCTAATAAATGTATAGAAATTTGT